TACGTAGTCATGTCATGTGAAATAGAGATGGTTTTACTTCTTTCTTTAGAATCTGGATGCCTTTCATTTCTTTTTCTTGCCTGATTGCCTTGACTATCACCCTAGTGCTATGTTGAATTGATGTGGTGAGAGCAGGTATCCTTGTCTTGTCCCTAAACATAGGGGGGAATTTTTCAATCTTTCACCATTAAGTATAATGTAAGGTGTACGTTTTTCATAGATGGCCTTTATTAGGTTGAGGAAGTTCCCTTCTGTTTGTATTTATTTAGTGTTTAGAGTGTTGTTTTTTTTTCTTTGAATCATAAATTGCTACTGGATTTTTTCAAATGCTTTTCCGTGTCTATTTAGATGATCATGTGGTTTTTATCCTTTATTTTACTGATATGGTACATTACATTAATTGACTTTGGGATGTTAATCCAACTTTGCATTCCTGGGATAAATCCCAATTAGTCATGATGTACAATCCTTTTTTATGTACCTGAATTCTGTTTGCTAGTACAGTACTTTGTTGAGGATTTTTGTGTCTACATTCATAAGAGGTATTAGTTTGTAGTTCTTAATGTTCTTTGGATATAGATTGTTGTGTCTGTGATTTCTGGAAGCATCTGTGTTCCTTTAGTCAGTACATTTCAAATAACAGCTGAATGTTGAAATTTGTAAAGAGTGAATTAAGATGATTTCATTCAAATATTTCTTAATGATAAAATCCCTTCTTTTTCACCATGCAGTTACCTTTCCTTTAAAAAAATGTTTGTTTGCTAGGTGTACTATGAAATCTGTTTCTTCTGTCTTCAAATCTTACTAAGTTGTTATTTGTAATTTACAAGATGCAACCAGCATATCCAGCTCCCAAATGGGAGATTTTAAATAAGGGAAGAAACTTACCTGGTTAAGTATTAGGTGAGCTGTAATTCTCTTTGGGATAGAAGCTTTGCTAACTTGACCTTGTCTTTCACATTAGTGTAAAAATACCCATCCCTGGAGTATCTGGAAGAATATCAGGAATCTGCAAAACCATAAAATAAATCTCTTTCTAGAACATTAGTTTTACTAAAAAATTTAGAATAGGTGAGTGTGGAAAACTTTTTATATTAAAATAGACAAGATTGTTTAATGGGGAAAAGTACATGTATGAAATATTTAAGGTAAAATATAAGACTTCAAACAAATTCAGTACTTTTGGCACCATTTTCAGCCTGACCACCCACCTCTAAGTGTATGAATCCTCTTTTCTCGTTAGATAAGAGTACTTTTTTTTTTTTTTGGTGGCTGGCTGGTTTGGGAATCCAAACCCATGACCTTCGTTTACAAGGCTGCGCTCTAACCAACTGGGCTAACTGGCCAACCCAGTAAGAGTACATTTTGTTGAAGTTTTTGAGAATTGCTCTGAAGGTATTAAATAAATGTTGACAACAGTGATTTCTTACTTTATGAAAAGGCTATTGTCCTCCTTGTAAATAACCAGTACTGGCTGTATCCTCCTGTCCAGGGTTTTAACTTTTTTGTTCCATTAGTCAAATAGTTCCCTTTCTTATGTTTAGATTCTCATTTTGTTAATGAATCTGTTGCTATACTCTAAATGAGGTTGAGGATTAGGTCTTTTCATGTTACTTTGTGGTCTGAGAATGCTTAGATGAAAAAGGTAGATCATGATACCAAATGTTTTCTTGTACATATAACTCATTTGAAATGTTCTTGAACGTAAATTAAGCAAGAAGACAGATTTCAGAATGGTTATCAAACCTAGAGTTTTCATTTACTGGCAGGTTCTTTGCATTTAAAGTCTGTATTAATATACTTGCTTATATTAACTATGCTCATGGACTACCAAGAAGCCATGCATACCTTTAGGTAGACCTATAAAAGTAGTGTTGCCCTTTGTTCTTAATATAGCTTGTTAATTTTATAGCGTTCCAGAGCATAGTAATTGTAATAGTAATTGCTAAAGTTATTCTAGTCATAGCAGCATAACAGAAAAGATTTTTTTTTTTAAATCTCTGTTTGATAGTGTAGCAACAGTCCAGGGTTCAATCCCTGTACTAGCCAGCTGCCAAAAAAAAAAAAAAAAAAAAAAAATGTATAGCAACAAATACAAGTATTTCAAACATATTCCAGAAACTAAATTTAGAAAAGAGTAGTTTTATCCAAGTAGAATATTTTTAAGTTTTGGGAAAAGCTCATCACAGACTCTGGCATTATGGAATATACCTGTACAAGCATTTTGTCCTCATGAATGCCAGAGGTTTTCATGGATCTCCTTCAGGTCCACCAAAGTGGTAATTGTTGGAGTATACCTATTGTTTTTGTCCTGGACAGGCTCTGGAGATAAGCTCTGCTTTTAGACTAATGTCAAGGTAAACTTGGCAATCTACTTTTTTGTTATTGTTATTTATGATCCTGGAGCATTGCTTGGTAAAGAAACATTTGGAGGCATTCTTCATATTTATATGGCTTTTATGAATGGGATTCAACCTACGTAGAGCCATTTTTTAAATCCCTTTCAGATACCCTATACTGAATAAAGTTATTGTAATTATTCTCTTATAGTATGCATTCAGTAAATATTTTTAATAAATAAATGAAAATTAATGTTCCCTTACCTGCTTATGGATTTTCCTCTTCAGTGACGTCTTCAAGATTTTACCAATGTGAACAGGGAGAGATTTTGTTACATATTTTCTGCCTTGACAGTGTTTATTCTTTCCTCACGATATATAGCATAACTTACTTCATCTTTGTTTTATGCAAAATCCTACAGATTCATCACTTCCTTTGTTTCTCATTTATCTGTTCTCATGCCAAATTTTGCATCTTTATACATTTTACTATTTCTCTTATATTTCTTATTCTGTCATCCTGTGTGCATAGCTTTTGCCTAGATTATAGTATCATTTGCCTTGTACCCTGACCAAATGTTTGATAACTTTTCTTATTTCTTTACAAACACTCTTCATATATGTAATGGGCATATATATAGTATCAGGATATTTATAATATGGTGAAGGAAATTCTAGAACTTCAGCTAGAAAGGCTTTCTAGAATTGTCTAGTCTAGCCTTTTTCCTTTATGAGTGAGAGAGGTGATGCCGAGAGAGATAAGCAGACTTTGCCAAAGTTATTGTGAAAGATGTTAATACAAGTGTGCTTAGAGTAATGGCAAGAAAAGGGAAAGCATGGTAAAGATATAGGAACAAGGGAGGCAGGATAACTTGATAACATAGTATAAATCCTCTTCATATGTGTATATTTGTTTAGTTGTCTGCATTCCTTGTAAATATATCAGTCTTAAAGATTACCCTCTTAGAAAGAAGGGATTGGGTCCCATTTGTAGGCATAGTATGCTAAACTAATATGGGTCAGGGAAATGAAATTGAATGTAATGATAAGCAAGAAGAAACACACACATTCATTGAGCACTACTGCGTGTTATGTGCTTTCACATAAAGCATTTCAAAGACACATGGACTTAACTCTTGAACATTCAAGATTCTAATTTTTATTTGGTTATCTCATTGATTTCAATATCTCTACCAGAGGGCAAGCAAGAAAAAAAAGCCTATGGCATTTATGTTAATCCAAAGTTGCTCTGGTAGAGTAGAGGTTTGGGAGAAAGTAAATGTAGTAGCTCAAAGAAAGGTTTAGATTCCCTGAAGATTTCATTTATATCTATCCGTGTGTGATCTTGAAGGATAAATGTGTTGTATTCTCTCTGGAGAAATAAGCACCAGTAACAGAGAAAGTCAGGGTTAACAACTCTGTACACAGAGTAGCATGAAAATTAGGGTTGTATATGCTTTGGTGAATTGTGAATTTTAGTAGTGGTTAGTTTTTTTTAAGATACTTTTTCCCTCTGTGCTCTTGTCAGAAACCATCTTTTTTTGGTTTCAGTTGGAATACTTTTTAGAGATAAACTTAAATGATACAGATTTCTTTTGGCCAGTGTTTTAACTTTATAATCCTTTTTGGACTAAGAATAAATGTAGTGCAAACCTTCCTTTTTATTCCTATCTTTTTATTCCAGTCCAATTCTTCAAATGCTACTGAGGAATGCAGGGAATCAGTATCAAGAAAATAGTAAAATTGTCAGTGTATATTTGGTGAAATATTTAAGATGCATATGTTTTTTATTTCATTGACAGGATTTTTAAAATTGTGAAAACAATCTAAATCAAAATAAATTTGTTGTGCCTACTTTGATAATGAGAAAAATGAAATCTGTGATTTAAAAACTGGAATATTTTTCTGTCCCGGATTATAATTCAGCACCTGCATCCTTTGTAGGACTCTCTATATTTAAGATATTTCTGATGATTAGAAGCATTTTTGGTGTAAAAATCACATGCATATTTTATTTCGAATACTGCCTTATGAGAGGTTAAATTTAAAAAAAATTAATTTAAAAAACATAACAGTATCCCTAAAGAATTCAGCATACTTTTGGAAGAAATCTAGTTTTGGTAAACCACAACCATAGGCACATACTTAATTTTATTCTGATAGGCTTTAAAAAAAAATTTTTTTTTTGTATTTCTTTCAGAGTAAGTGAGGAAAAGGAAGTAACAGAAGAACGACTGAAAGCTGAGCAGGAATCATTTGAGAAGAAGATCAGGCAGTTGGAAGAACAGAATGAATTGATCATCAAAGAAAGGGAAGATATCCTTTTTGAAAGTCTTCTTTTTTAATGTGCAGAAAGTTTGACTCTTTTATGAAGAAAATGTAAACTCCAGAGGAATAATTGTTCTAATTTATAACAGGGAATGAATCTGCATGTGTTGCCATTTCTTGGCAATCAGAACGACACTTAACAGCATGTGCTGTTGCTTCCTTTGTGCTTGATAAGGCCATCCAGCTGTTCTGCTGCTGCTGTTATGCTGCGAAGCACATATTTGTTAACTAAAAAAGACAATAAGAAATTTGGGCTTTAAAATGTAGTGTTGGAACTTTATTAAGTTCTATTCCACTACTATAATTGAGCCTGAAACCACCTTGGATTTTGTATTCTTTTTAACTAAAGCTTTGACAGTCTTAAGGAATTCTCCTCTGAAATCATGGGGAAAAAAAATTCTTCCTAATGTATAGATGTTGTAATTAATAAGTGTTTCCACTACACAATAAAACCACCAAATTATTCTCATGGAGCAGAAAATTATTGGATTTAGAACTAGAGGGGTGTATGTGTGTGTGTATAGCATTGTTTATATGAAAGTAAAGTTAAAACACCTGTTAAAGTTGTACTTTAAGGAGTATGTGAATTAAATGCATTTCTGAAGTTTCTTTTGAATGGGTAGAATTACGTATCTTTGGGTATTTTATGCAGTGGTGTTGATGTAGAGGAGAAGTGGTGGTGCCTAAAGTTAAGGTGATCTGCCAGCTAAATTAGTGTGTGAATGCTGAAAGAACCATTGTCCTTCTTGGCAGTGTTGTCATTAACTTGATTGTTAATAATTATTTCAAAGATTCATCAAGTGTCAAAATGGTCGTATGGATAGTAACTATGCCTTTGTGAATACCAGAGAAATGAAAGCATAAAGATAAATTAACTTGAAAAACAGAAGACTATAACTATGAAAAATGAGTTCTGAATTTCACAGTGGAAGTGCATGATAGGAAATTAATATAATGAGAATTCTTATTATATTAGTTTGCTGATTAGGACATTAATAAGGTTTATTGGCCCCACAATTCTAAAGGAGTTTTCATTTTTTTTTCCTTTACATTTCTAGCACTTGTATAATTATCTCTGGCCTTCTCTTCTCTTTGCCTGTTCATTGGCCTAGGTTGTCAACCCTCAGGCTAGGCTGTCTTCTATGTTTTTCTTCCTGCTACTTTTCTCTCTAGGTTAAGGGAATGCTGTTTAGTCAGAAATCACTAACTGTGCTCAGCCATATTTGCTCTTTCACTTTTTCAGGAGGAATAGTGACTCTGGACCCTAACACTTTCAAAAAATGGTAAGTTAGGAATGGTTTTATTTGTAACAAAAATTCGATTTACAGGGTCTATTTTCACCTCACATAACAAGAACTGTGGAGATAGATGGCCTCTGGCATTGATTCAGTGGCTTAAAATTTTCAGTGCTGGCATCTCTACAGTTCTCTTAGTTTTTTCTAATGTTTGCTCCAGCTCTAGGCATCACATTTGCATTAAGGTAGGCAGAAAACGGGAATAGGTCCTGGCATTTATGACTCTCTCCTTTTTCGAAAAACATAAAACTTCCTCAGAGCACCCCTCACCTCCCATCTGGTGATCTTTCATATGATATTTATCGTCCTGAACTTTGTGATTTGGTCATGGTAAGTTGCAAGGGAGGCTGAAAAATGCGCATTTAGCTTGTCCAACTTACACAGTGGAAGGCAGCAAGGAGGAGGAGATTGATTGGGAATGCAGTCAGCCTCCAATTCTGTTAGCAGAAGTGGGGGAAATAGAATTCACTTTTTTTTTTGTCCTTTTTTTTGAGACCGGCCACACCATGCTCAGCCAGTGAGCGCTGTGAGCACACTGGTCATCCCTATATAGGATCCGAACCCGCGGAGGGAGCGCTGCTGCGTTCCCAGTGCCGCACCCTCCCGAGTGCGCCACCCTCCCGAGTGCGCCACGGGCTTGGCCCTAGAATTCACTTTTTGTCTAGAGGAGAGGTGGTGATACTTTGACCTTCCTGGGACAAAAAGCATCTAGTGGAATTGGGATAAGTTAAGGAAAGAGGGCTTGGCCCTAGAATTCACTTTTTGTCTAGAGGAGAGGTGCTGATACTTTGACCTTCCTGGGACAAAAAGCATCTAGTGGAATTGGGATAAGTTAAGGAAAGAAGGTGAGAGATATTGGTAGTGGACAATTTAGAAAGCCTGGCCACAGTTGGAATGTTTGGTGATATGCTTAACAAAATTGTGTGGCTATTTGAAATAGTAGAATCTAATTTCAGTGGGCCATTAATTATATTTAGCATTCTCTGAGTGGAGATTAATTTTATTCAGTGCTGAAGCATTCTAAACTCAGCATGGCTATGAATGGTTTCTTCTGGCAGGCGAAATACCCTAGGTGATTGTAGTGACATTGTTTTTTATGTTTTCCCCAAGATTTAGCTCAAGGGTCAGCACACTACTGCCATGGGCCCAAACCAGTAGGGTGCCAACTAAATCCAGCCATATCCATTGTTTTATGTACTGTCTGTGACTGTTTTTGTGTTCCAGCTGCAGAGTAGTTGCAACAAAGACCCTGTGACTCTAGTAATCTAAAATATTTGCTGTCTAACACTCTGCAGAAAAAGTTTGCTGACCTGTTATTTTTCTTATAAGCTTAAAGAGGACAGGAAAAATCATGTAAATACAGGCAAAGACTTAGACATGTGAAATAGTTAGATTTCTTTTATACATGGGAAGAAGGGATTTGGCTTGAGCATTTATTCTTTATTGTGAATGAGGGTTGGAGTAACCGTTAGAGCATTTTCAAAAATTGAAATGGTTTAGTTGGTTTAATTGAAGTTTTTTTAATCACTGAAAGAGAGGTGATATTTATAGAACTTGTCAAAGAATTGTCAAAGAAGAGAGAAAGAAAGATATGATAAAAACAATGACGATGACATTTGTGATTTTTATTCCAAGTAGATTGCTCAGGTACAAATCTCGTTTAACAAAATAAACCTGTCAAAGGTTGATACAGATGATTTTACAGTACATAAAACTGTATAAAACTTAGAAACATAAAACGAGGTTATAATTTAAAATAATATAATTTAAACTACAGTTACATTTACTATCATACATGAATGATTCAGACTCTTTCATATACATGAAATCACATAATTTCATATCATTTTAAAGTCTGTTTCAGTGTGAGGGACTGTATCCATGAATTCTGATTTTTGGCATTTTAAAGATATATTATACTACATTTTTTTTTAAGTTCTAATAACTTGATTTATTCAACTATACAAACACAGACCAGTGCCTTAGTAAAAAAGAAAAGATATTTTACATATTTGCATTAGGATCAGACTTTTGAAGAATTTTTACTCACAGAAAATTGGGAGTTTATTTTATTTTATTTTATTTGTGCTTTTTGAGACCGGCCGCACTCTGCTCAGCCAGTGAGCGCTGTGAGTGCACCGGTCATCCATATATAAGATCCGAACCTGCGGCGGGAGCACTGCTGCGCTACAAGCGCTACACTCTCCCGAGTGTGCCATGGGCTCGGCCCGGGAATTTGTTATTAAACATAAAAATTCTTAGTAATGTTCAGTCTCTGAACAAAGAAGACTTATTTCCTGAGAAAACTTAACCATATAAATGAATATGCCATTCACAAAGCCTAGCAGTCTGATAAACCTAGTTGATTTTTGCCTGGCCTTCATGAGTATGAAAGGAGAGATAAATCTGAAATTTAAAGAGAAATATGTCCAATAACAATAATTCTGAAACACATTAGTATGTAATAGCATAGGACACAGAGGATGTATTAGAAAAGTTGATTAATACTTGAGCTAATTGTATTACTAGAACATGTGACTCAGATCGGTGGTGGTATCAAAAGCCTGCAAAAGGAAATTACTAAAATCTCATGTTTGCTAACAGGCATAAAAAGGGAAGGGACAGTGAAGAAAGCGTGGTGGGCTTTGAGTCAAAATCCCTTTTTAGTGCTGACTAGCTGTTTGACCTCTTGGGAAAGTTAGTGAACTTCTCTGAATCTTTTTTTTTTCAGCTATAATATGTAGATGACTAATAGTGCCTTCTTTTCAGGCCCATTGAAATTCTTTATATGTTATATGTGTAAAGAGCCTAGCAGTGCCTCATACTTAGTAGGCACTGAATAAAAGATAGCAGTTCTTAATTTTACTGCTTTTAATATGGATGAAGGATGAGATGACTAGCCGCACTGTTTCTTATTTCTGTGCCTTTCTTTGAAGGGATTTTGATGGTTTTCATTAGGTTATGCAAGTGCTTGGGCTGCTTCGAGGCCTGGTAGCAGAGTGAAATTGATCTGTTCTCTGTTTAACTTTTAATATCCATGGAAGGGTAAACTTCTGTGTACCACTTGGACCTGTTGGGTGCTCATTGGGAAGAAACCAAGTTTTAATTTCCTCTACCAGAAATCAGACTGATGGAGATTTTTTTCCCCCCATTCTGGTCTGTTTCTATTATCTTTCTGGTTGGGACTTAGTAAATTGAAGAGGTTTAGAGGTGCTTGTAAACTTATATCCTTGAGCTCATTGCATGGGTGGTCATTTCAGAAACCTTACTCTAAGATTAAGGAACTAACCTTAATCATTTTTGAGGACTGTTTTAGTATAAGCCAGAGGTCTCAGTGTGTCTATGCTGAAACTAGATTAGAGAACATTCACAAGAATTTTATCTAATTATGTAAAAGAAATCATTGGTTCTGAATAACAGTAATACTTCAGAGGTATTCAAAGCTTTCTGTGTAACTATGAATCTCATCACTGCCATAGGAGCCAGACTACCATGGTCTGCCACCATCATCTGTTAGACTTTTTTTTTTTCCTTTTTGTCTTTTTTCGTGACCAGCAACAGGATTGCAACCCTCGGTGTCATGCCCGCACCGCGCTCAACCAGTGAGTGGACCGGTCTCTATATGGGATCCGAACCCTCAGCGGGAGCGCTGCCACGCTCTCAAGCGCCGCACTCTACTGAGTGTGCCACCGG